CTCTCTGACCTCTTCCTGGGCAGGCTCTGGGTCGCTGGCCACGCTGGCCAAGTCCTTCCAGAAGGCGGAAGCCCTCCTGCGCCACTGCGTCAACCCCAGCCTGTGGCGCCTCTTTCCTCACAGCGCCGGCGAAAGTGCCTACGACAGCGAGGAAGAGGACTCGCCCGCCGGCCTGGCCCACCTGGCCCAGGTGGAGCGCAGCTTCGTGGGCCTGAGCCGCTGCCTGTGCGTGCAGAAGAATCCTCGGACGGAGACCTTCCAGGGCCACATGCGCCCGGCCACCCCGGAGGCGGCCCAGGGGGCCACCGCCTTTTCCTACCACCCGGCCAGGGCCTGCGTGGCCCGCCGGTGCACCACGCTGCATGCCCTGCTACAGCACCGCCACCACCTGCGCCTCGCCCGCCACTTCGTCCGCCGCCTCAAGGCCGCCTCTGACTTTGTCTGCCGCTTGCGGGCAGAGGGGCGCCGCCTGCCACCGCTGCCGGAGGGCCGGCAGGACCCCCCTTGCAGCCGCCGCCTGCGTGGGCTGTGTGAGGAACTGCACATGCACACCACCCACTGGGCGGGGCTGCAACAGCACATCCGCAGCGACCCGTGGCTGCATCCCCTGCTCGTGCAGCGGCCAGAGGTGGTGGGGCACATGAAGCACTCGCTCCTGCTGCTGGCCTTGCACGCCGTCCGCCTCCTAGAGGGCTGCGTGGAGGCCTCGCTGCGCAGCCTGGCCCAGTGCGCCACCGGCTGCCTGCCAGCTCAGCTCTTGGACTTCTTCCGGGCCGTGGATTTCTACAACCGGGTGGTGGGAAACCAGGCCCTGCAGCAGGCCTTGGCGGAGCTGCGGCCCAAGCCAGAGGCCAAGGCTGGAGCATGGCTGCCGCCCGGTAGCAACTCCCACACCTTCCCTCCAGAGAGAGTGTTGGCCCTCCTGACAGCAGAGCGAGGCCGGCTGGCGGCCCAGCAGCTGTATCGGCTGCTGCAACAGCGGCAGTCAGGGCAGCTGGCCGGCCAATCAGAATCATTGCCGTGGGAAGGCCCAGAAGAGTCTTGGCTGCTGGAAGGACATTCCCAGACCCCTCAGGGGGGCGAGGGCGCTTCCAGCCTTGCTGCAGAACTGCAGGCCTTTTGCCAGCAAGAGGAGGATGCCCTGCTGTGCCTCCTGCGGGAAGTGGTGGCGTCCATGGACAGCCTCTGGCATCGCATCCTCAAGCGGCCCCAGCAGGAGAAGCCTTCAGGGTGCCCAGAGCCACCCGATACACCAGGGGCCCCGTCGAACTCTGCCTGCCTGCCTGGCTGGAAGTCTGTACGCTGGCTGGATGCCTCCTTCACAGAGGTGGCTGCTGGGTTGTATGCGCAGTACTGCCCGCTCCTTTGGAGGGCGTCTGCCTCGACCTTTGCCTGCAAGCTGGAGCTCCACCCACACTTGGCTCAGTCTGCCAAGGTGGCAGGGGCTGTGCTGGGCCGGCAGCTGATCTGCGCCCTGGCACAGGGTAAGGGGCAGGAAGTGGAGGGAAGGTGTCTGGGCACAGCTGTGATGCTCACGGTAGGCAGAGCCTGGAGTAGGTTCCTGAGCACCTTGGCAGGTGGAGCCAGGGGTGGGTCCTCAGTCCTTTAGGAACCTGTTTTTGGGCTAAGCATTTTTTAAAGTTGTTTGGAAGTCATTCAGAAACAGCCTGGAGTTAAGGGTGAAGAGTAGGATGGTCGTCATAGCTGGCATCATCAAAATAGATCACAAACAGCACCAGAAGGTTTTGGCCAGGCTTGGGGAGGGGGTAAGTGTTTAAATGATAAATGGTAAGAAATACAAAGTGGTGCATATTGGGGTGGGGAAAAAACAGCAGCCCCCCAAAGCTTTGCCCAGGGTTGGGGGGTGGGCTAGCTAGCGCCTGGGCAAACCGCTCCTGCAGGCCATGGGAAGCCCTGGTCCATCGCCATCTCCAGGAGCCGTTCCAGACGGGCTGGGCTCTGTGTTTATGAGAGGGAGGCTGCAAGTGGAGGGCACTTGCATGGGTGACATTTGGGGAACTTTCAAGCTGGCTGACCTGTGTGGCTTCCTTTCCGGTCCACTGTGCCTGCTGAGGCTGGGTCTTCTCTGACTAACCATCTCTTCTTGCAGGCTACGTGCCCCAAGAAAGTACGGAGACGCTGAGGGCTCTGGGGGTGCATCTACTTCTGCGAGATGTTCTATGCCACTGGGACCGAGGTAGTGGGCTAGGAATGGGCGGGCCTGGGGTCGGGAGGCTGCTCTTTTGGCGCTCGGCATCCCAAAGATGGCTAAGGAAAGGTCTGTGCCGGGCAGAGGGTAAGGTGGCGGTGCCCCCTGCCACGCCCCTTTGTCTGGGATCCTCTGAGATATCCACCCCCTCCCCCCCACATCCCAGCTGCTTTGCTGGTGTGCGGTGGGGACCTTGCTCTTCAACAGCTCTCCTCCCCTTCTCGGCCTCAGGTTTCTGCCTTGCTCTAGGCTCCAGCCTCACAGACAAGTGCATGGCCAGGCTGGGCCCCCAGGACGCTGGTGCTCCCTGCAGCCAGACTGCCCAGGCCCTTCAGCGCCTCTACCAGCCCCTGGCCTTCAGCCTGCGATGTCTGGGTGGTCTACCGAGTCGCAACACGGGTGAGTTGGGTCCTGGATGGCCTGCCATTTGCTGCCCCACAGCTGGCCCTCCCTCTCCCCCGACCCCACTGGCACCTCTCCGAAGCTGGGTTATCTTCCTTGTAGGTGATCAGATCCTCCTTGCCAGCCTCCACTGGAAGCTTCTCTCCCTCTCTGTGGCCACCAGTCATGCCTCCTGCTACTGGGTCATGAGCAAAGCCCACCAGTACCTGGCTTCCTGGTCTCTCAGCCCATTCCTGCTGGTGACCCAGGGGGACTTACAGGCAAGTGCGGGACAAGGGAGGACTCGCCAGTTGGGCCAGTGCTACCCCAGGGCAGATCGGAGGAGTAGGCCATCGGATCCAGCGGGTGGGGGGAGGGGTCAGGTTTCCTTCCTGCCTTCCTTGCTTGGAAGTAAATTCCCAAAGACCTAAAAAGAACCAACAACAACAGCCTTCACTTGAGACATCCTGAGGCTCTCAGTTGATGATCACATTGTGATTTTCTAGAGGACGGGAGGGAGGGAAGCTGGGGATGGCCTGGCAAGAAAGGAGACAGATAAATCCTGACAGCTGCCATGCACTGGATATAATCCTCTTGGTGCAGGTACTGAAAACTGAGAGCGACAAGATGTGGGCTCTGGTGGGAGAAGCCTTTCCTGTGGAAGGGGAGAGGAAGCAGAACCTTCTCATCTCCAGCCAGGAGCAGGAGCTGAGCCGGCAAATCCACTCCATGGCTACCAGTATCCACGTAAGTGTGCCATTTTTCCACCCGTTGTTGGGCAGCAGCTGTGGGCATTGGAGTCAGACGACGGGCTCCTGGCTCCTTTTCTGGGCAAGCCCCGGTTCCCAGCATGCCTCTCTGCCTGGTTTTCCCACAAGCCTCTGGGGAACCGTACAGCTCCTCCTCCTCTTCAGCGACTCTGAGCTTTGGGTCTTTGCTGCCCCCTCCACCTCTCCCTTTGGCTCTTGTGCCAGAGGCACCCTGTGTAGATGGAGGCCCTCCCCCTCTCCCAGGGTGCCTCTCTGTCCCACAGCAAGGGTGGCCAATGCTGATGAAGTCACCCAGATAGGCGGGGGAAAAATCAAATAAATAAATAAATAAAAACAACAACAACCCTGCAGGCTGCCCTTGAAGGAAGGGGTAGCAGCCCACGAGGTCCCTGCGGCCCCCTCCCTCCCTCTCGTGGCCTGCCTATGGAGAGCAGGCTGAGGCCGGTTGGGGGCGCTCTGGAGACTGAGGGCTGCTGTCCTGATGGGGCAAATGCTGCAGTGGGCAGGCAGGGGAAGGTGGCGGGGCAGGAGGCCTAAAGGGGGAAAGAAAAACAGCAGGCACTTCTCTCCGGGTCGGGGGCGGCACACACTTTCCTTATAGGGAGGTGTGCGCAGTAGGGCTTGCGTCCTGTGTTGGAGGGCCCCCCCCCCCGAGTGTCATTCTCCTACACCGCTTCATACCCTTCTTCCGCTTTGCAGCTTTTTACGGAGGATGTCCTGAACCTTTTCTTCCTGGACTGCAAGCGTATGTCGTCAGAGATCTTCAGTCAAACCATGCCACTTGGCAAACACTGGCGTCTCACTCTCCGCACAGGTATCGCTGTGGGGCAGGTAGGGGGAAGAAGGGGGGGGTCCTCTCACCAGGCCATCAGGGCAAGCTGTTGGCTGCAAAGTCCTGAAAGAAAGTCAGCCAGGCCCACGTGCACCACCATGGGCAGCCACAGGCAGGAGTGGACCCTCAGTGGTCCCGTCTTGCACGCCTCCTGGGCTACTCCCTGGTGTGTGGTCAGCTACTGTGTGCAACAGGATGCTAGGCTGGGGGGCAGTGGCTTTGGGATAACCTAGAGGTGGGGGCCTACTGATGTTCCCAGAGACGTGCCCCCAGGGGCTGGTTCAGGGTTGGGTTAGCCCCTCTGAGGCGTTCCCCAACGATCACTCTCAGAGTCACCCAAAGAGCACTTGGGAGGGGAGTGGGGGCTGCTGTTTAGCTGTCTCAACCCCCAGCAAATGGGCCAAGGTGCTGCCCCCCAGGGGGTCCTGAGGAGGTGGGGGGGCTTCCCACCGGGGCATTGGATGGGGGTGGGTCCTGGGCCCCACGGGAAGTGGGGCTCAGAGGGCCTGTCTTGGTCCTTGTCTCCTCGCGCCCTGTAGAGCTGCCAGCCTCCCCCAGTGAGTATGCCTTGGCGGCGGCCCAGACGGTCCTGGGCCAGGTCTTGGAGGGCATCCAGCGCCTGCCCCAAGAGGCCCAGGGGCTGGCCCTCAGCCAGGTCACCACCGCTTTCGTGGAAGCCTGGATGGACCACATCCTGGCCCAGAAGATCAAGTTCAGGTGAGTAGCCCCAGGAGGGAAGGAGGGAGAGCGGGGAGGGGGGAGGCAGGCCCCTCTCTCACGGGCCCCCCTTGTCCTTTGCCCTGCTCAGCCTCCACGGGGCCCTTCAGCTGAAGCAGGACTTTGACTTAGTGAAGGCGCTCCTGCAGTCGGAAGACTACGGTCTTTCCCTGGAGATCAGGCAGCGGGTCTTCTCCCTCCGGGTCTTCCAGCAAGTGGACAACGCCATCGCCTGCCTTCTGCAGCAGCCCTGCAAGGCCTCCGGGCCCTCCTCCTCGCACACCTGGGGGACCTTCCACAACTGCTGTGAGTGCTCCTCTGCGCCAGCACCCCCTTCTCCAGAGGGTGGCCACGCTGCCTCCTCCTTCTCCTCCTCCTCCTCCTCCTCCTCTCTCTCGAAGTCAGAGCGGGGAGGGAAGCGCAGGGGAACAGGAAGAGGTTTCCCCTCTTGAGGCCACGTGGCTGACGGGGGAGTGCTGGCACGAGTAGCCCTTCCTGCCAATAGAGGCCACGGGAGAAACGATGGGCCATGGAAGCTTAGAAAAGAGCCCCCATGTTCAGAGGCAGTCTACTTCTCAACCACAGGAGTTGTCTGCCACAGGGACAAGGGTGAGCCCGGATTCCTCTGCTTCTACCCTGCCCTCCCCTCCCCTTGCTAAGCCCCCCCTCCCGCCACCGCTCCCAAAGTAACACTCCGTCTCCAAGTGGCCAGTGGATGCTGTCCACCTCCTTGAACAGAGCTGCCGTTCAGGGGCCTCCTGCTGGGTGGCTTGGGCAGAACCCCCCCCCCGGGGTTGAGCCAGCTCTGCTTCAGCCTGGCCCTGACCCTGGCTCTGGCTGGCAACAGTGGGCAGCTGCCAAGAGGTGGAAGGGGGGGCAGGAGCGGCACATGGCCATCCCAGGACCTGTGGCTCCTAAAGCCCTGTTTTCTTGAAAATTGCTTTTTGTTTTAATAGAAAGCTCTCTTCTGTCCTTGCACAACCAGTCTTTTTGAAAAAAGTAAAAACTAGTTGGGCAGGAGTGTTGGAGTTGCAGCATGCTGGGCGACCCATGTGTGGCATGTGGATCACATGCACGCACAGAGAGAGAGAGAGAGAGAGAGAGAGAGAGAGAGAAGGCCTCTGATCTGGCCTCCTCTGTTAAGATGCCACAGGGTGGGTGGGCAGAGGGCACACACACTCCCCAAGTGGTGGTAGTGATCGTGGTGGTGGGGAGGAGTTTCCAGGGCCCAGGGACACTCCAGGCAGAGGAGAGGAGAGGACAGCATAAAAGAAAGAGTGCCCCTGAGCCTGCCGAGGGGCTCTTCCCACCCACTGAAAAGCCACTCGTTGGGCATGGGGCATTCACATCAAGGGGGGCTGGGTCATTGGGGGGGCACAGTGCAGTGGAAGAGCCCTCCCCTTTGCTTTCAGGTCCTCTTTCCAGAGAGGGCTGAGAAGGAAGCCCTTCACTGCCTGTTTAGAGGGGGCCTGGGCAGCCTCATCCTGCCACAGCAGACCCTTATCTCGAGAGACCCCGGGGTGCCTGCCTGCCTGCCTGCCTGCAGCAAGGGGTCCTGTTGCTAGGGAATGCTACACAGCTCTCCCTTGACCTGGGGAGGGAGAGCAGCTGGAGGCCCCCCCCCGCCTTCCGTGCCTGCCAGCTCCTCTTCCTCCTCTCTCCTCCTCCGCAGGCTCGTACGATGGGATCCATACCCTTGATGGTGGCCCAGGAAGTCTGAACAGCCTGGAGAGCCTGGAGGGGTTGCCTGCCCAAGGCGGGGTGCCTCCGGAGAGCCCCAGGGGGGACCTGCTCAGCCACATGCCGGGAGGCAGGGGCTGCAGCCCAGAGACCTACCTCAGCCCCACGCAACAGGAGTGGCTGGCACTGCGGCTCCATGGTGGGCGTCGCTGGCGAGTACCCACCTGGCCCTGCATGAACAGGACCTCTGAGCCGTAAGCGACCCTCTGTCCTGCTCCAGCAACTCCTTGCGCCCTGCCGTGATAGGCACTGGGGGGGGGGTCAGCCACCGGCTTTGCCAGGGTGCTCGGCGGCACCGCCACTTCCATGGCACGGAGGAGGGATGGCAACCCCCTCCATCTTCGGGGGTGCGCCTGCTGATTTGTGCCTTGTGTCTGGGGCTGGACCCTCTGCCAAGCTTCCTGAAGCCGCGGTGGGTGTGGAGAAAGAGAGCGGCGTGCTTCCAACGTCCAGGCTGCCTGCCCTCCAAGCCCAGCTCCGTGGCCGCCACTCTCTGTGGGGGCTAAATAGCAGGGGCTGCTCCCAGCCTGTCCCCCAGCCACCCCCACCCCCGTACCACAAGGGACAGGGTGCCTGTCTGAGGCTTTTGGAAGTACCAGCCCAGAAGGCGGCTGAGGAAGAGGGGCAAGGTGGCCTGTGGAGGAGGAGCGAGGGCTGAACAATAAAACCTGCCTCTGTTGTGGTCCAGCTTACGAGAGTGTCTCTTTTCCCATTTTCTGGGCAAGGGGGGGGGAATGGATATTCTGGTGCACCTTTGGCTCGAGGGTTCTCCCAACACCTTATTATTTTGTCCAAAGAAAAGAAGCCTCTTCCTCCTGCTGCAGCTGCAAACCTTCCTTGGGTTGTGAGAATGTATCCATAAAAGCACACCCCCCCCTTTGTCCTCCTATGCCTGCGAGGCTGCTAAGTGGAGAGAAGGGTGGGAGCAGCCAAGGGTCTGCATGACTTGCGACAGCAAATCGTGGGGTATTGTGCGAGAGTCCCCCTCCCTCCGCTGGTCCCCAGAAGGGTCCCTGCAGCAGAGACCCCACAGGAAGGAGGCTGGATGCATGGGAGGGAAGTCCCCATTACCTGGGGGCTGGAGGCTGCCACCCTCGCTGCCAGGGCTGCTTCACTGGTGTGGCCAGAAGGGCATGAAGAGGTTGGACACCTGATAGGACGCGCAGGAGGTGGGGAGTGGGAGTGGGAGTGAGGGAGATGCCCTGCAGAAGTCCTTGGGAAATGGGGAGTATTTGGCAGCACAGGTCGTCCCCCCTTCACCCCCACCCCCACCCTGCATGGCACCTGTCAGGAAGCAGGCGGTTTGGAGGCAGAGGAGAGCTCTCTTTGGAGACTGAGCAGCGGGGGGGGGGAGGGGAGGGAAGGCTGCACCTGCAGCTTCTCCCCCACCCCCGTTTCAGAGTGTTTCCTCGGGATGTCTGGAAGGGCGGCTCTGCCCGTCCAAATTCTCTTGGAGCACCTGCAACGTCAACCCATTTTTCTGCAGGAACCTTTGATCCGTCTCTTCCTCCCTGGCAAAGACCCAAGGTGGTGTACAGAAATATGTTAAAGGCGCAGATAATTCTAAGTATGACGATTAAAATTAGCAACCCTAATATCCATATAACTGAAAACACCCTGTAAAGACTACAGAACAGATGGGAGAACCCTTCTCCGACCCGCTCCGTTACACCCATTTTTCTGCAGGAACCTTTGATCCGTCTCTTCCTCCCTGGCAAAGACCCAAGGTGGTGTACAGAAATATGTTAAAGGCGCAGATAATTCTAAGTATGACGATTAAAATTAGCAACCCTAATATCCATATAACTGAAAACACCCTGTAAAGACTACAGAACAGATGGGAGAACCCTTCTCCGACCCGCTCCGTTACCTACTGAAATGTCGGGGGAGAGAAGCG